AATGTTGATGCCATCGTGAATTCACATTCTGTAATAACAATGCAATCGACTATTGAATTCACGTGAATGTGTCGTTTTACGTGTTTGAAGTGCTGGATAAGGGTAATGTTGCTGTACCCAAACAACAATTCAACTGAAGATGAATCGAAAAGTCGTGTGAAGCATTGGGACTTTTCCTAAGGATTTGCAATTCACTTACATTCAACCATTCGTTCTTTTCGCTCGTTCCATTTTTCTTTACTTTTATCTTATTGTTGACTAGGAAAGCAACAATCCATTGTGATAATCCGTTGTTGTTTTTATCAGATAGAGTGTTCCAAAGTTTGAAGAACAAAACAACGATCCGTAAAATGGGAAATCACGATGAGGTCAGGCATCTCACGAGATTTTTATAAGACTGCCAGATTGGAATGCAAGGTCCTCATTGGTTACGTGCTGAGGTCCTGATCAGGTGTCCATCTGATAAACCTGAAAGGTACACCGTATATTTACCAGGTGTGGCCCTTGTCTGACAGCAGGGCCACCTCGGCTTCCAGATAACTAATTAAGTAACTATAGATAACTTTAATTACTTTGGGATTTCAAAAGAAATACTGTGGAGAACGGATAATTACTACCCGTAGATTTATGAAATTGAAACTGCGAAACGTGAACTCAAATGGATTATATTGATCTGCTTATTAAATATCTAATTACTCATACATGTTTCCTGCTATTTGTACAGGTTCTCTTTTTCTGTTTCATCCCAATCATAATTTAACCATGAAGCGTTAACAAGTGATAACTTTCTAAACGGTAATTTTTAGGAACAGATTATGGCACTTTCAGGTTGTGGTCAGAATTCTTAGACTCCGATGATTTATCGTCAACTCTTGAGTGGCACAGTGGGCGATTCGCAGTCCCATATATTTCACAGCTTTCACGTTGAAAAAGCCAAAAAGAATAATTTATCTGTAGTTAACCGGCCATTCCGAGACTTTAACGAACCGAGAAATCAAATATAAAAAAGAATAGCGGACCGGCAATTCTTCAATTGTAATTAGTCTATTTTTTTCTACTTGTAGATTAACTAGTCGAATAAAGTATACGTAAAATCATTTAGTTGTCAGTTGAGAGGAGTATTGTGCATACTAATCTACACTTGATTATGATTCTGTTTAATGGGTTAAAATGAATGAACTGCCCATTGTCCAAGGCGGTACACCACGATGACATGTTTCAGGAACTGGAGAGTTAAATTGAACAAATGCATCACGGTCTAATCGAAATGCAGTAATTAATCAATTTACGTTGAGTGCAGAGGCCTCGGTGATGTACTCGGCAATGTCAAAATATTCCAACCCGGGGGCTTAGATTGGTATAACACTGAATATATACATGAGTGATGGAAGACTAATTAGTACATGGTACTGATGGTAAATGGTACTAGATTTTTAGATTTAGTCCGCTTGTTTGAGGTTCGTATTATATGTCCAGCCCGGCCTTTTTTGCCAGTCTTAACAGATCTGTTGTCTCCTTACTCGTGACTTGACTAGCGGCGGGGAAAGCAGTGCCCCACCAACGTAGTCTCGTCGCTGCTAATGCCGGACAGTCGCACAGGATGTATAAACTGTCCTCTTTTGTTTCATTGCAGAATCTGCATTTGCATCCCTGCAAGCGTCCGGCATAAGATGGCCTAAGTACTTTTACTGTGATGCAAGTTGATCTGAACGATTTCGATCGAACCGTGAGCCAAATGGTACTAACACCTGGAAAAAATTACCCCCAAAAACATTTGACATTCGAGAATACTTTTTTACGATATTTTTGCTTATCGGATTAGAGTATCGGTCAAATGGAATAATGTAGTTGTATGGAGAAATTAAAATTCCAATTAGGTCCATCAGATAATGTTGTTGTTTTTTCATAATTTTCCCTGATTTTTTAAGAATACGGTACATCGTAAGAAAATCTAAACGACATTTCAATAACGTCATCTGAAAAATGTCAATCATTCGCGGTATTGATTTTACTTCATTGATCGTGACTGTATAAGATGAACAAGACGTTTAAAAAAAACCGCCATCTAGCACCTCCAATTATGATATCCAAACCAATGGAATGACGTTCTATCTATCCAGTTATACAGGTATGATCAAGGGAAGTGTGTAAAAAAATGCATCAGTCAAATGGTTAAAATATGGGTAAAAAACCATTTTTAAAAACTAGCCACATCTGTAGAAAAATTAGACTCATCAACCTGAATTTTAGCTCAAAATGGAACGAAATGACTAATGAAAGTACGATCGACACTCGGACATTTTTCAAAAATATCATTCCTTCACATTTCATAAAATTTCTAGACACTTCCAATAAAAACTGGCCAATAAAAAGAAGAGGAAATTCCATAGTTGCCATGCGTCAACGAAAATTCCCCATAAAATCATTACAAAACAAAACAATTCCCTACCTCGATGATTCCACTATTACGAAAAAATCTAGAATGATTGACAAGTGAAAAAGGAAATACGGCTTCATGAGTTTGCCGTACCAAGATTCCACGGGGTGTGCCATATCTATCGGATTTAATGGATGCTATTAAATTATCTACCTGCAACCAACGCTGATTACAATTACTGCAGACGCTGGGAGCAATTGGTATGCCTGGTCGGTGTGAGCCTCGAATTGTGATGAGAAATCTACGCGTCACACGATTATTTGTATCACCATAAATAGAAGGATAACGATAGTAGGATATCGCTGGCAAGGCCTGGTATCCACATTGGTCGAACTCCTTGGTATGCATAGGTAAACAAGCTGTGACAGATCGGATAGTTACATAACTTAGTCCCTTGACTCAGCCCACTTTCTCGTCTATCTGAACGTTCTCCGTTGGTTATATCAACGCTGTACATTCATATGACTTCACATGCGCAAAATATATACTCTATATCCAGGCCCGTAGGGGTTGAATTACACATTGAGCTCACGCCACTGCGGTCTAGATCGTGCCTGGACCGAGCCAGAAATTTACTGGGTACGTGAATGAATGAGCGGGAAAGAATCCGGTATGCCAGGGTTTTTCTAAAAACAAAAAGACGTAGAGAAAACAATTATCAAGCAAACCTGTTGTTTCATGTACAATGGCTTCCTCACGGAAAATTATCATCAAGTAAAAAATGTAATTCCATTATGCGTGCAAGTACCGTCCAACTTTGTTAGGTAATTAGATTCTTGTTGGGGGTTTGCTGGCGAATTTCTGGGTCTGGCAGATGCTTGGACAGGAACTACTCTCTTGTCCGTTAAAATGAAATTCCGGGGCTGAAGATGGGAATACTCCGTCTCAGTTGGACCTTTATAAGGACCCTGAGAAGCGTCACAAAGGAATTCGTTACAATAATTAAGTTTATTCGACACTGGTGTGATATCTATTCGTCTTTTGGTTGATAGATGATAAAACTTGGGTTAGATGGAGGGTCATGCGTAGATATTCAGCTGTAGGTTCAGCTAGCAAGTGGTTGCTCATAGCCTACTAAATCAATGCCGTGAACTGAGAAAATATTCAGCGGTAATACTCCAAAATCTTGGAAATCATCGGATATTCCTCAAATGTTTGATTGCAGTTGATCGCGTAGTAACGCGAGGCAGTAAATTCCTCCGTGTGATTGCTCACGTTGCGCGTTCGGTAATTTTTCAAAGAATCTCTTGAGACCGTTGATATGCCTGAAAACGTGAGGAAGATATTCGATTAATTTTGAAGGTCCAAACGTATTCCGAGGATGATTTTTCTCATTCCGATTATGGGTTAATCGATGTGCAGTGTTTCGAGCCCCGTGACACCTTTACATTTTTTTTTTAATATTCCGGCCCTTTCTGCCCTATTCTGGCTGATTGGCCCTATCTCACTCTACGCATGCGGCTGTAGATCCTACACTGTACTGTATTCACTCTCCTATAGAACATAGGAGTAACATGGGAAACCACAGGAAAAACCATGTCGGTACTGCCGGTTACTATATTAGCAACCTCCGGTTCATCGGTGCCTGTTGAACAGGGAATCGAACTCACAACTTTCAGAACACTAGACTCCTAGCCACTGTGCTACCGACGTCGGCATATCCTCACATTGTTCTCAATTTTATAATTATTTTAATGTGGAAAAATCTCAGTTTAACTTCAGGCCCACCTAACCTGAACTTGATCAGAATGATTAAAGATAAGCGAACCTCACGTTTAGATCAAGCTCGCCATATCAGAACCTGATCAAAGGAGTACGGATCAGGTTGAGTAAATCGAAGATCAGTCTCCGTCAAGTTCTTCCTGATCAGTTGAAACTGACCACCGCCATGTCAAGTCCTGATTTAGCCGCAGGCTCACCTGACATAATTTCCTTCGGGATAGCTCTGACGGCAGAGACATCATAAAAGCAACACCAAAGCCGAGGTGCAGAGGCCAATGAGGTCAAAATCGAGATTAAAAAAATTATCTGTTATGTATCTCAATATCTTGCAAATTATGGAAAAATTCCTCAATGAATTTGGAAATTTTCTTCTAAATTTTGAAGTCCAAGAGTAAAAATGAACCAGACATTCCACATCGTCTCGCGATTTACTACGTGTTCCCCTTTAAATGCATTCTTTTGTGGAATTTTCATGAGGCTAGAGGTAAAGCGTCACATTATAATATCATTAATCCGAGATTACATATCATGAGAGTATACACCCATATAATTGAGTGTTCATCACTCGAAGAGTTTAAACAATTTATAATCACCGAATAGTCATATATATCATGGAGGGATATCATGTAAGCAATCTGTTAAGTAATCAATTCTCAAGTACACGATTATAATAAAACGGCAAAAACGTTTTCACTTCCTCAGTTTTTTCGAATGCGAAACAGATCCGTCTCTGAATAGAATATCACAGACTCCGGTCCATGCGAAACTCATCGCGACAATCTGATCCAGTTGTTATCAGTAATCCGATCGAAACAATTATTTCTTAATCAGTATTACTCACAGTGTACAGTAAGATTCCACCGGTCCTCAATAACGGCCTCCGATAATCTCGGATTCTCTGCTCGACAGATCAAGTACTTGCCGTCGTCCTCGTGGCTTGGGTACCACTCTAAAGTACTCTCGCTCGTTGATCCGTCCTGCAATTGAAGCAACGTATAGAATTACGTATTGGATGAACTTTATTAGAAACATAAGTAGAGATAGTTTCTTCTATCTGCGTATAAATGACATCTTCCTCGAAATTGTTTATTGATTTCGCGCGATCACGTTCTCATCGCATATCTGATACATTTCATTTCCAACGTGACCAGCAAGTTAGATAAAACAAAGAGTATAACAAGGATTTAAGTCTTACAGTTCCTTATTCCTTTTCTTCCCTTTTTTGTTTCATTGGAAACAGATTTATATATTCAGGATCAAGTGAATCCTGAACTCTACAGAATATCAAGTATCTTTTAACCCAAGTATTTAATGTAGATTTTCTATTGGACTCACATGAGTGTTTAGGAGATTAATTAGTAGGTACTTAGCTCACCTGAAGATGAGGGTTTATTTCATTATTAGTTTAAGTAACTACTGGGGTAAAGTTCTAAAAGTACTAAGCAAGTAGCGTTCTCAGTACTTATGGTTTGTAATGGAATAGAACCATTTAGATCGACTAAAGACGGACCACCTAAAGTACTTAGTACTGGAATTCTTCTAAGTACTAACTAGATAGATTTTAGAGTACTGAGTAATAATTCTCTTAAGTCTTTAGTACTTGTACCGTTCTAAGTATTCAGTGATCAGTGCAGCTTACTATTCAGACCGCATAAGTACAGAATAATTAAGGCACTTAGTAATTAGGGCATTCTAATTACTAAACAAGTAGAAAGAGTGCTTCGAAGCTTAAGTGCTTCGTTAAAGTATAACTTTGTTGGAATATCAAGTTAAAATTCATAGAAATGTGTTGAAGTGATTTATGATGATTACAAAAATTAATTGATATGGAGGGCTCCACGGAGTCGCCTCAGAGTTTGTATAAACATAAACAATGGTTTCACAAGAAATCATTGTAGAGTTCTTTCTTTGGTGACGAATATTCTTATGGTCTTTGTGGCTAGTCTTTAGTCTCTTGGAGATATTGATAAAGAATGATTTAATTAAGAAATAGTGATTAGAGTTTATTAATTGTGTTTTTATTAATTTAACTATCCCATTTCCAATAAACTTAATACTTTAATGAGGAGTTCAAGTATTGATTTAGTTTGTATCACTGATTTGAAAAATATAATCACGTGATTTTTGGATTCTTTGGCTCTATTCATTTCAATTTGCTGACGCAAATCAATCTACAATAGCAGAATCCAGTTGTTCAATTATAGTTTCATAATTAAGTTTTAAAAAAATTAATGGCTGAGGGGCGTGTATCGCACACGGCCACTCACTCCCCATTGGTCAACCATTCAACTCCCTCTTTATCTGCTCTCCCATTCAACCCAAAATCCCAGCTAATTGCAACACAATAAATTGATGACATGTAAATTATGTGAATCCTACTGAAATTTCATAACCACAATGGTCAGTGTTATTCGTTAGTCTCTGTCTGGGTATAATGTAACAATGGGAAACCCCTCCGCCACCTCAACCGTTTCATGTCACCAATTCTGTGGAAATTAATTCATCTGTGGAAATGCTGGAGTAGACATTTTCGCAATGATTTTTTATTTACTCACACATATATATACTTAATAAATTTAATGTGTCCCTCATTCCTATAATTTTACACAATTTACATAATTTATTCAATTTTCTATTATTCGAGCACAATATTTCACGTGCATTCAGCGGGAAAATTATATCTCTCCAATGAATGAGTTAATTCGAATCGATTCATCTATATATTCCGCATTATTTCTTTCACATTGAAATCGTAAAATCATCACATGAATGCTTCATTATCATTTTCTGATCATTGAAACTCCAGGACTATCAAGTATCATAAAGGCATTTTCATTACAAATCAGTGACAAATTTGGAACGTGATTTAATATTATATATTGTCGAATGAGATTTTTGCCCGTCAATTCATGTTTGAATAGTTGAGTTAATCAAATAACTCTATTTAATATTCAGATCAAACAATTGAGAATAAAATTTGTCAAAAAATAGAATTATATAGTCGAAAAAATATTAATTAAAAGGACATGCGAAATTATGATTGGTCGACGCGTTGACCCGTGAGCCATCAGTTCTAGCCCCTGGGATATTAAAATCACGAGCATTCGAATGAAACTACCATTGGGATATTAAAAATTCCGTCGAATATGACTGGTCATAAAAAAACGGTTACGACTTTCATTATTTCCTCGGTTCTGGTAACTCAAAATTCTCCTCTATTTTTCTCTACATTCTGCCACAGGTAACATATCGTGAATCACCTACAAGGGAGATGCTGAAATTATGCTTCCCATTCTAACGCTCATCCTCTGGTGAAAACATAAAAAATGCTATTCAAGCAATATACTTCAGCATGTATAAAATACCAGGAGCATAAAAAGATTTTTTGTTAGAAAATAGCTTTCCGAAACAGAAATTTCAGTCACGCCGTTTATATACTAATACAATTTTGGGACTTACGATCCAAGAAAGGGGTCCTCCTCAATTCAGAATTACTGCGTCATTTCTCTCCAATAATTATTGATCAGCAATTCAATCATTAATGAATCGTTAAATAGAGTTTCATCTGGTCTTTTTCTCTACTATTATTTGCTAATGATTTGAAAATCTCTTTATTAACGATTGAATCTCTCTTTCAACGGATATTCATTGTATGAAAAACCGGATGGAACCCTTTGCAAAAATTCTCCAATTACGCTCGTCATTACGCAATCCAGATGAATAGTCCATAAATACTCCGAAATCCCGTAGGAAAATCCGCCAGAAATACTCGACAAAAATAAAATTGCTCCGATTTTTCCGTATGAAATCACACGACTATGACCTCTCACTCCCCTCTCTACCAGTCTATTTTTTCCCGTGGGTCTGTGCAAATAAAAACAAGTGGAAAGCCCATGGTACGGAAGATTATGAAAAAAAAAATCCCCCCGACGTAAAACCAAAAAAACCTATTGAAAATACGAAAATACAACAAAATACAGAGTACCATCAAACTGGTTAAGGGCGCGTTGGAGTTGAAGTGAGATAGAGAAAGGAAACTAAGCCAGATTATAAAACGAACCAGATGTGTGTGTCAACTTTTCTTCTCACGGGGCCAAACGCATTCCCTTGGAAATAACACCGGAAAAACTCCCTTCCAATTCCCGCTTAACCTCTCGACCAGTGCTTCCTCCATCGTTATCTCAAATTCCCTGCAATTGTATTTTTTTTATAAGAAAGTACCATTTGATGCGTATTGCCAAGGGGACGGCGAAACACTTTGCTTTTATTGATAAGCTATCGTCGCACCATAACCTACAAATGGTTATGATTATTACTGTCATCAAAGATCATCTTCATGCCCCGAGAAAAAATTCTAATAGAAATTCTATAATTGATAAGAATTATGGATCTCCTTCCACAGCCAAAAAATACACTGAAAGGCATGTGCGGCCATTTTATTTTAATTGCACTGGAAAAAAGATATTCAAAAAATTTAATATGTGGATATATATAATAAAATATGTATGTATATGGATTTTTTTGTTATCACTGCAATAAAAAAAAATTATGAATTCTTTAGCAAATGTACGGAATCACTAGGATAAGTGCATTCTGAACTTCAATTTTTGATGAATATCTGTGGAATGAGGGGAGATATCAAAATTTTTATAAACATCTTTTTTTTAGTGTACATACCGCTCTACAAAAAAGATATTTATAAAAATTTCTGTATGTCCCTTCATTGGGGAAATATCCAGCGCATACTATCCAGGTGGTATGCGCTGATTTTAATTTGCTAATTAACTACAAAATTGATATTTATTTAGGATTCAGTGTTTTGACAACGCTATCATGTCGTATTAATTAAACTGTGAGTAGCACCGAGAGCTTTTATTTTGTTGACATTTAATTGTTATTGAAAACATTTGGGTTTTCAATTACCAAAAAAATCATTACACCAAATTAGAGTGAAAAGCCCGAACCAAAAATAATTCGAATTGTGCTGAATTCTGTCTGCATAAATACAATATTTATTAAATACCAGAGTTTATTTTCAGTGTACAATTTTTTTTTAATCCACGCCGGAGGACAAATCATAATCCACTTCTGTCAAGTTTCCCTTATTTTCAATATCCAGTCGGCGGATTAGGCGCCACCCTGTCCTTGTCCTTAATCTTCCCGTGACATTTATAGCCATTTTTTCCCCTGAATTTGAGTATATGTATTGAACGAATAAATTTAAGGGCGATTACTCATCTCCATATTTGTCCCCACTCATTCGATATATTACGCCCGAAGAAAGTAGAGGAATTCAATAGATCAAGAATATCTCCCGATACTCTAACCCTGACCATTGCTTGAGGATAATCCCGTTAATCCCGCGTTAACATTCTCATATTTTTTATAAAAATCTGCCATTTGTATAATGGCATCGTAGATTCGATCAATAGAAAACGTTGAATTGAATTAGACCGACGTGGATGACATGTCGAGAATGAAATACCGAATTAAATTCGGTGTGTCTTACCCATCATGTACCCGACGTTATTACCAGCTGTCTCGCAGGATGATGTCAATGCCAATGGGTGGGCGTCAATTAAAACTGTGTGCTCTCCCAGAAAATCAGTTCCAGCCGGCATTTACTCGGCGAACACATTTCATTCTATTTTTTTCTTTTCTCCTCGTTTTTTTTTTCTACTGCCTGCACTCCAACTCTACAAGCGGGTCGAAATGGGAGGTGGCTGCTTGAAGATACTCAAGTGGGTTGATGAATTTTCGTCGAGTGGGTGGGTATGGGAGAACTGCGGAGAGGAAACACTTGGGAATGAGTAGCGCAGCCACGGAAAATGAGGACTCTGTAACGTTCGTGCTGAATTTCTGAGGATTGCTAAAAATAACATCATCTTAAAAGCTATCTCGCTGAGACATTTTTGGATTAATTAAGGACGATTCTTCATTTTAGAAACAACAGTGACATACACTGAAATAGTACATT